ATGCTACTTTCCTGCTAAATATTGTTCTGGAAGCCAGGTGGTAATTGTGAGCTAGAGCCTGTATCAGTTGCTGGAATGGCTCACCTTCTACTAGGGCAATAGTAGCTGGCCTATCAATCTGGTAACCTTATATGACACCATCAGTCATGCATCAGTACTATTACTACTACTACTGCTGCTGACCCCTTGTATTGGATTGTGCAGTTTTTCACTGTCAGTCAGTGTTCAAGTTGAAAGTTGTGTCCCTGCAAATAGTTTAAAAAGTGCACAGAACTAAAACTATCATAGTGCTTCATTAAGCTAAATTGTTTTGATGCCTATAATATACATTTATGCAAAGGTGTGTCTGTTAAGCTCAGCTTTGTGTAGCATGAAACTTACAGATGTATCATGGACATTTTCTCTATTCTGAGTTGCAGATCTTTTCAGAATTAAATTGGCCTCTTTGCTGTTTCTGTCTATAGCTGCTTCTCTGACTAGGTTACAAAATTTTGGTGGACCTCCATCTGCAAGCAGTCATTGTGTCATATTCCAAAATGTGTGAATTTGAGGATGATATATACTTATCTATATTCTCTAGCAAATTCTATGACTTTCCGAAAAGAGGTACTTTTTTTATTGATCATGTGACACTTTAATTGCATACAAGTTTTGTCCTATTGTGTTTTATACCCCACCTCCTATAGACTGTAAGCTCATTTGAGCAGGGCCTTCTTCAACTTTTCATTCCTGTAAGTTATTAATTGTCCTGTTTATAGTAAAATCCCCCCTCTTATAATATTGTAAAGCGTTACAGAATCTGTTGGCACTATATAAATGGCAATAATAATAAAAGTGGAATTGTTGTAACTAATGTTGGGATTTCTGATCGCATTCACCGTAACTTACATTCACAGTAAAATAAATTTTAAATTCAGGCTGTGGAAACCTCAAAGTTTTTTTCAGTTTTTTTTTTTATGGCACTATATCTGATATACATATACATTTAATGATATATCGATTGCACATATACATGACAAATAGGTTGACACTAACCGAAAATTTGATAAATCATAAATATAAATACAAGTTTAAATATATAAGTGCAAATAAGCCATCAGAAATGTAAAATATATATATATATTTTTGTTTTCCCAGGTGGGCCAACTTCCATGAAATTCTTGAAAACCCCTTGTACGTCTTTCAGCAATAATATGCACAATTGATTAGAAGACATATTGATCACCTGAGCTAAAAAAAGTGAATCAAAGAAGACAATACTTCAGTGGTTTTGTTTTTTTCCACCTGATACTCTAGTTTTCCATCATTAAGTTATGTATTTTGTTTTTCGTTGTCATCAGTGCTAAAAAAAAAGAAAACTGTCACACTACTAGAACAGTAGGGTACAAATACTGATAGTGAAAAAAAACAAAAAAAAATCTTCTGTAAAACTCTTACTTTAAATTATAGATTAGAAAGGTTGTTTTCTGTTTTTTTTTGTTTGTTTTTTTTTACTCATTTGTGTTTCATCATTTGGTGTTACCTTTAATACATATAGTAAGGCACATTTTGACACATAATGATTTAATTTAAAGTTATCTGTGTAATTTCTTCCAAAACATTGCATTTGATTAATTTCTAATGACACATTTTTGTCAAATAAAAGATTATTCAGTGTTTTAGTTTGTAATATAATTGTATCATTTATTACCTGTATAATTGTAACTGATGTAATTGTAAAATTTCTACCAAAACAAAGTGGATTATGGAGAGATCATATCAAACAAACTTCAAAATAGGTCACTGTAAAAATAGAAAGACCGTTTTAGAGTCGATGGAACATGTTTGTATCTGAATTGAAAACTAGCTAAAAGATAGAGGCTAGAGTTATTTTTTTAAAGGAAATTTTTCACATTATACAAAGATAGTAGGTGAAGTGTGTAGCTCTGTCTTGTGTTCGCTCATTTTTTAATGTGCTCATTAATGATCTTGCAGAGGGGCATAGACAGTCATCCACATGAAAGAAAATCAGAAAAAGTTAAACTAACTGAATAGGAATTGCAGAATATTTTGATTTCACATTCAAGATGTGCTTATTGAGCGTGTGGCGGGCCTTTCTCCCCAGGTGACAGCTAGAAAGCTGTGCATCACCCCTCCCCTGGCTTTTCACAACCCTATTCTGTAAAATAGTTAAAGGGGACCTTGACAGAGGGAATTACTGCTCATCTGTCTGGTTTATCAGCACATTTAGAGCACTTCAATCATGGCAAAAAAATCTAATTTTTATGAAACTTTAGTGTGAGACTGAGACATTTGTCAAAGACAGTTTGCAAAAAAATTCAAGACATCATTAATAAAGGGAGAAAATACTAAAGCCAAATTCTAAATCAATACGAAAATGGAATCCCAAATTACTAACAGGGACAGACTAAAGGACAAGCTAGATGAGTAGTTGCCAATTCTCAGTGTTCTTTCATGAAGTGTTTGTTTTGTTTACCTAAGGTCCCCCTAAAGTACTTATTGTGCCTAGAGGGGTACGAAGGGTACTACAAATAAAAGGATTGAAACAATTGTCGAGGTTGCTTTTATGTCTCATTCAGAAGTAATATAGACTGACATTTTGTGTGGTAAAAGACTGACATACAAATGGAAAATTTCCCTCTGTACTCATATAAGCTAAACCAAATTTGAGACCTGACAGGGTCCCACTAAAGGGGGCAAACTACTTGATTTTTGCCTGTTTTTTTTTGTAAATATAATTTTTATTATTTTGTGGTGAGTCATCATAATGTCATAAGCAGTACAGTTGAGACTCGCAGGTCCCTTAATTATCTCATGCATTAGAACAAAGGTCTTGACGTCTGGTGTGGACACGGAGGTCTCCGGACTGGATAGTTACCGTAATACATGCTACATAGCCTGGATTCACTGAACATGCTAGGAATCTAGTACAATTGGAGTATATTATTGTGTCATCCTGTAGGAATTTTGCCATTGTAGTGTGCCGTGGGTACCTCCTACAGTGCCCTATGGGGTCGACTCAGTCAGTCGGGTATGATAGGTATTATGGCGTTCTTGTGTAACCAGGAAACTCGCTGATCACCAGTGTATGCTCAGGTAGATGCATATCCAATGGGTTAGCTGTATACGTATCTACTTGAATTCTCCATTTGCCCTGGGTCAAATAATGGCTCATGGGCCTCCGATATTCCCGAGCATTGTTGCTTCCTACCCAGGTCCCTGTTGCTGGATTGTTTTTCCGCTAAACGGAACGTGTCAGGATTCTAGCTGTTATGTTGCTACAGTCCTGTCGTTTCCCTGGGCCTATGTTGCATTAGTTTTGTCTCTGTGATCATATCTTGCAGCCGTCCCATGTCCAGTAACCTTGTCTTTGCAACATCTTTTAATCTCAGTATGCTGTGGGTGTCCTTAGTTAGTTTGGTTGGTTTGCATGTCTCTTTTTATACTTTATATCGTTGGTCTCAGGTGTATGTAGTGTCACGTTTTGCCTGGGAGTCTGTTCTAAATGTCAGGAAAGGTGCTTCTCTGTCAGGTCTTGTTTCCCTGGTGATCTATGAATGGAGTGTGTTTTGTCATCCGTTCTGTGTGTGTGTTGGTAGTCATCGTGGGGGTGTCATGTGTTGTGTATTTGTATTTGATGTATACCTATGTTTCTCAGTATGTACCTGTCAGGATTACTGTTTGATATAGAACTGTACAGCACGGATGACAAATAAGTAACGTATTACCGGTCCTTAGAATGGCTGGATTTAACGTACAAAGAATAGTCAAAAATACTAGCCGGGACACAGCGATGAGGAAAGCCAGGAGTCAGGATACCAGAATATAGAGAAGTCAATAAACAAAGCCAAAGTCAAAAACCAGGTAGAAAACTATAAACAGGAATGCGCTCTCGGACAACCACAAGGGAAACCACGACAGGGCACTGAGCAGGCTGAGAACTGGGCCTAAATATCCCTCCTTTCTTTCTGATAGGCTGTAACCGGCCTTTGACCCCAAAGTCAGTTACCAGGTTTCATTTGCATAATTGCTGCTCAGCATTAACCCTTCTGTGGATTAGGTTGCTGCTCGGCACAACTTTTCCTGTGTGGACAGTAAATGTCATTAACCACATTTCTATAAGCGGATGAATACGTGACAGTACCGTTGGGAAATAAATATAAAAGAAACAAATTAAAACCAATGTGGCTTAGTAGAGAAGTAAAACAAGAGATTACAACTAAGAAAAGGGCATTTAAAGCATTTAAATTGGACAAATCAGATGCATCTTATAAAAGATATAAGGATGCAAATAATGCGTGCAAAAAGGCAATTAGACTTGCTAAACTTCAAAATGAAATAATGATAGCTGAAGAGAGCAAAACCAACCCCAAAGCATTTTTAAGTACATAAATTCTAAAAAAAAACAAAATGAAAGTGTAGGTACACTAAAAACTGAAACGGGGGTGTTAGTTAATGAAGACCAGGAAAAGGCAGGAATTTTAAATAACTATTTCTCCTCCATATATATTAAGGAAGAACCCATGGCAATAGATGTGCAAATGATTGCTACTAAAAACTTGCAGAATAATTGTAATTGGTTAACTCAAGACAAGGTGCTGCAGCAACTAAAGAAAGATAATATAAACAAAGCTCCAGTGCTTGATGGTATCCATCCACGTGTACTTAAGGAACTAAGTGCAGAAATAAGTGAACCTCTGTTTTTAATCTTTCAAGATTCAGAGAACCACAAGGGAAACCACGACAGGGCACTGAGCAGGCTGAGAACTGGGCCTAAATACCCCTCCTTTCTTTCTGACCCAAAGTCAGTTACCAGGTTTCATTTGCATAATTGCTGCTCAGCATTAACCCTTCTGTGGATTAGGTTGCTGCTCGGCACAACTTTTCCTGTGTGGACAGTAAATGTCATCAACCACTTTTCTATAAGCGGATGAAAACATGAGACCAGGTTTCATTTGCACAATTACTGCTCAGCATTAAACCTTCTGTGGATTAGGTTGCTGCTCGGCACAACTTTTCCTGTGTGGACAGTAAATGTTATTAACCACATTTCTATAAGCGGATGAATACGTGACATTACCCCCCCACCTGAAGAACGCCCACCGGGCGGACAGGACCAGGCTTGAGAGGAAATTTAGCGTGAAAAGCGCGGATCTTACGGCCCGCATGCAGGTCAGGAGCCGAAACCCAAGAACGATCAGCAGGACCGTAACCTTTCCAAACAACCAAGTACTGTAAAGTGCCCCGAGAAAACCTAGAATCCACGATAGAAGATACCTCATACTCTTCCTGACCACCCACCACCACCGGAGGGGGAGGAACACAAGGAACAGTATATCTATTGCAGACAAGAGGTTTGAGTAAGGACACATGAAAAGTGTTGGGAATCCCTAAAGATGCAGGAAGAGCCAGAGAGTAAGACACTGGATTGATCCTACGAAGCACTCTATAGGGACCAAGGAATCTGGGGGCAAACTTCATGCTAGGGACCTTAAGCTTGATGTTGCGAGATGACAACCAAACCCGGTCCCCCACTTGGTACACCGGGTTGGCACTCCTACGCTTATCAGCAAAATGTTTGAAGCGTTCAGCAGCAGCCCCTAGAGCAGTTTGAACCTTAACCCAGGTATCCCGAATGGAGGCCAGACGCTCATCCAGAGCAGGAATGGCAGTATCAGAAAATACCGCAGGGAGAACCGTAGGATGCCTACCATTATTGACAAAAAATGGACTGTGCCCAGAGGAGTCATGAACAGCATTGTTTCTAGCGAACTCGGCCCACGGGAGTAGTTCGGACCAATTGTCTTGTGTGCTATTAATAAAACAACGCAAATAAACTTCTAATGACTGGTTAGCCCTCTCAGCTGTACCATTGGTCTGTGGATGGTAGGAGGAGGAGAAGGAGAGATCAATCCCCAATTGTTTACTGAACGCCCTCCAGAACCTGGACACAAACTGAGAGCCCCTGTCGGACACAATATTGCAATATGCAAACTGACAATTTCACGTATGAAAATTAGGACCAAATCTTGCGAAGATGGCAACTTCTTGAGAGGAATGAAGTGAGCCATCTTAGAAAATCGATCTACAACCATGAGAATAGTAGTGAACCCAGCAGAGCTAGGAAGCTCTACAATAAAGTCCATGGATAAGTGGGACCATGGAATCTCAGGAACAGGAAGAGGCTGCAACAGGCCACAAGGAAGTGCATGAGTCACCTTAGAAACTGCACACACAGAACATGCCTGCACATACTCCTTTACATCTTTCCTGAGTGAATCCCACCAAAATGATCTAGTGATCGCGGCAGTGGACTTATTGATGCCCGGGTGTCCAGCAGTTATATTGTCATGGAACACTTTCATGATATTAACCCTTTCACATAGGGGAACGAACAGTTTATCACATGGTTTACCACTGGGCGCCTGAGGCTGGGCCTCCAGTATGGTGCCAAGCAGTGGAGAAGACAGTGAGAGGACAGTAGTGGCAATAATACACTCTGGTGGAATAATAGGAGATGTCACCTGTTCCGGAGCTGACTCATTATCAAATTGCCTGGACAAAGCATCAGCCTTGGTATTTTTAGAACCAGGTCTATAAGTAATGAGAAAGTTAAAACGTGAAAGGAATAGTGACAATCTAGCCTGTCTGGAAGACAAACGTTTGGCATCCCCTATATATGCCAGATTTTTGTGGTCGGTTATGATCAACAGGGGGTCCTTGGAACCCTCCAAAAGATGTCGCCACTCCTTGAGGGCAAGAATAACAGTTCTCTATTGCCAATATCATAGTTGCACTCAGCAGGAGACATCTTTCTGGCCTTGTAGCCACAAGGATGCAATGGTGTTCCCTGGCTTTCTCTCTGAGAGAGAACAGCCCCTACCCCTGTCTCGGATGCATCAACCTCCAATATAAAAGGTTTACTAGTGTTGGGATGTTTTAGTATGTCCGCAGAGGCAAATCTTTGTTTAAGAGTCTCAAAAGCATTCACAGCCTCTTTGGACCATACCGTGCTACTAACCCCTTTGCGAGTCATATTTGTGATTGGGGCTATTACAGAAGAAAATCCCTTGATGAATCTTCTGTAATAGTTGGCAAAACCAATAAACCTTTGAATGGCTTTTAAACCAGAGGGTAATGGCCAGTGTAGTACAGCCTCTAGTTTTTTAGGATCCATTTGAAATCCCGATGCAGAGATGTTGTAACCCAAAAAGTGGACTTCAGGCTGGTCAAATATGCACTTTTCTAATTTGCAATAAAGTTTATTTTTCAACAACGTCTGCAGAACCTGTTTCACATGGGAGTGTTGAGTCTGAAGATCAGGGGAATACACCAAAATATCGTCCAAATAAACCAAGACAAATGAGTAAATTAATTCCCTGAGTACATCATTTATAAAGTCTTGGAATACGGCCGGGGCGTTGCATAACCCAAATGGCATTACCAGATATTCATAGTGTCCACTACGGGTATTAAATGCCGTCTTCCACTCATGATTCTCTTTAATTCTAACCAAATTGTAAGCGCTCCTAAGGTCAAGCTTAGTAAATACTTTAGCTCCCTGAAGTCTATCGAACAATTCGGAAATGAGTGGGATAGGGTATGCATTTTTTACAGTGATTTTATTAAGTGCCCTGTAGTCTATGCAAGGGCGTAACTCACCACCCTTTTTCTCAACAAAAAAGAATCCTGCACCAGCTGGTGAGGATGACTTTATGTGCCCTTTGCTCAAGGATTTTTTGATGTATTCCTCCATTATTTTACTCTCCTGGGGAGATAAGGCATAAACTGCCCCCTTAGGTGGCATAGCGCCTGGAAACAGGTTAATGGCACAGTCATATGCTCTGTGGGGAGGCAATACATCAGATTGAGCCTTGTTAAACACCTCCTGAAGTTCTCGGTATTGTATGGGAACTCCAGGAGTTTGGGGAGTGGTAGTGGGAAGGTCAATAGTATCCAATCTCTTTAGTACTGGTTTTATACATCTCCCCATACACTCTTTACCCCATTCTAATATCTCCCCATTAGCCCAGTCAATATAGCGATTGTGCTTACTCAGCCACAGAAACCCTAATATGATAGGACATGATGGAGAAGTAATAACCTGAAACGTCATCTCCTCCCTATGGGAGGCCCCAATGGAGATCGTAATAGGGACAGTTTTGTGGGTTATAAGCGGTTGTGTGAGTGGTCTACCATCAATAGCCTCTACAGCTAGCGGCGTAGGTCTCTCCCTGACCGGTATCTCATTACCCCTAATAAACTGGACATCAATAAAATTTCCAGCAGCACCTGAGTCCATTAGGGCACTGCAAGAAAACTTCTTGTTATCAAGGGAAATAGATACCTCAAGGAGGAATCTACTTTTCTTTTTGTTAGAGGACAACTCCATCACACCTAAGATCTATCCCCTTAAGGCATAGGCATAACCCCTCCCTTCTCCTATTCTGTTTTTCGGCCTCTGACAGTCTAGTGACCCCCAACTGCATAGGTTCGGGTTCGGACTGTACAGGGAGGTTAGACAAAACAGGTTTAGAGAATTGAGGTGCAAGGGACATAGCCATACGTCTGGTCTTGCTTCTGGTGACTTCTCTGAGTCAACCTATTATCAATATGCATGACAAACATAATAAATTCGTTAAGACTCTTAGGTAATTCTTTAGCGGCTATCTCATCTAGTATAGTCTCTGAGAGACCCTTTTTGAATGCTGAGATTAACCCATTGTTAGTCCAGTCTACCTCGGAAGCTAAGGTACGGAATTCAATAGCATAATCCGAGATAGACCGGTTACCTTGTCTGATGTGCATTAGGGCAGTGGAGGCGTCATCCTCTCTACCCAATGGCTCAAACGTGAGCTTGAATTCGGCAAGGAATTCCTGGTAATTATGAGCTATGCTCCGATTACTCTCCCACAACGGATTAGCCCAGGCAAGGGCCTTGCCCTTTAATTGATTCATTAGATAACCAATTCTTGCTCTGTCCGTGGGGAATGACCCTGGTGAGGCCTCAAAATGGTACTCCACCTGATTAAGAAAACCCCTGCATTCCTGGATATTGCCATCAAACTGTAGGGATGGTGATAAGGAGATGCTAGGAGTCATATTAACAGTGGGTGGAGGTACACAGGGTAGAGGTGCTATAGGAGGAGACGCTGCAGGCTGCAGATGCTCCGTTCTAGCGAGAAGCGTACTTAAAGCCTGAGTGAATTGATCCATGCGGTGATCATTCTCCTCTAATTTCCTCTCGCAAGCAGCTATGTGCTGACACAGTTCTACAGGATCTATGGCCATGTCATAATGTCAGGATTACTGTTTGATCCAGCACGTAGAACTGTACAGCACGGATGACAAATAAGTAACGTATTACCGGTCCTTAGAATGGCCGGATTTAACGTACAAAGAATAGTCAAAAATACTAGCCGAGGTCAGGGAACACAGAAAGGGACACAGCGATGAGGAAAGCCAGGAGTCAGGATACCAGAATATAGAGAAGTCAATAAACAAAGCCAAAGTCAAAAACCAGGTAGAAAACTATAAACAGGAACGCGCTCTCGGACAACCACAAGGGAAACCACGACAGGGCACTGAGCAGGCTGAGAACTGGGCCTAAATACCCCTCCTTTCTTTCTGATAGGCTGTAACCGGCCTTTGACCCCAAAGTCAGTTACCAGGTTTCATTTGCATAATTGCTGCTCAGCATTAACCCTTCTGTGGATTAGGTTGCTGCTCGGCACAACTTTTCCTGTGTGGACAGTAAATGTCATTAACCACTTTTCTATAAGTGGATGACTACATGAGACCAGGTTTCATTTGCACAATTACTGCTCAGCATTAAACCTTCTGTGGATTAGGTTGCTGCTCGGCACAACTTTTCCTGTGTGGACAGTAAATGTCATTAACCACATTTCTATAAGCGGATGAATACGTGACAGTACCGTTGGGAAATAAATATAAAAGAAACAAATTAAAACCAATGTGCTTAGTAGAGAAGTAAAGCAAGAGATTACAACTAAGAAAAGGTCATTTAAAGCATTTAAATTGGACAAATCAGATGCATCTTATAAAAGATATAAGGATGCAAATAATGCGTGCAAAAAGGCAATTAGACTTGCTAAACTTCAAAATGAAATAATGATAGCTGAAGAGAGCAAAACCAACCCCAAAGCATTTTTTAAGTACATAAATTCTAAAAAAAAACAAAATGAAAGTGTAGGTACACTAAAAACTGAAACGGGGGTGTTAGTTAATGAAGACCAGGAAAAGGCAGGAATTTTAAATAACTATTTCTCCTCCATATATATTAAGGAAGAACCCATGGCAATAGATGTGCAAATGATTG